GTATGGAAGAAGACTAAAACTAGAAATTGAAACCATAAACTCATTAGGAAACTCATAAATCAAGTGAGAAGTAGGCTCATTTTTTCATAGGACTCATACGATTGTACTTCTTTTTTGCAGCCCATGGAGCTGTTAGAAAGAATGCAGGTTAAAGACCCTTTGGACTTTGGATAAGACCTGGCCCTATAGCTTTAAAACTCCAGTAGCTGCTGTGGTGAATACAAGCAGATAGGATTAGACCTATTATCACACATCTACAGTATGTTTTCTTTTTTTATGTTTTCATGTATCTTTTTCTTTAAAATCAGATGTTTGACCCATAAAACTTAATTTTGCTGTGGGCGGCTTTAAATGACTGCACATCCTATATTTAAAGTAGCTCAATACGGGCTTCCATAGCTGACTCAGTACATTAATAATTCTTAGATAAAATATGAAAAGCATAAAAAAAACTTGTACTCTGCAACATTTGAGCCTACCTAAGGCCATAAGTGCTACATATAAAATAGTGCAAAGATGATATTAAAGGGTAACTCAACAGCAGGCTGTGCTCTCCGACTGACAGGTCTGTTACACCACAGCCAGCATCACTGATGGGTGGTCAGAAGTGAGCTGTGCTGAACCTGTGACCACACCCAACAGTGATACAGCGATGTTACGGCATACAGTAGTCTAGTGTGACACACACTAGAATACACTGAGAGAGAACTTCTAAGCTGCTGTTAAGTATCTCTCTAAGAAAATATTGGTTTATTTCAACTTGGATTTTTTTTCATTGTTTTGGCCATTGTTTCAATGAATGATAAATACATTACACTCACCAATTCAATAGCTAAAAGCTGAAAGCTATGGTAAATGTTAGCTAAAAGAAATGTGATGGTTCAAGAAACACAAGTAGTCAGATGGGTTGGAAACAAACCTCCAGGTTAGTCCAACTTATTTCAAAGAGAAAACAAGGGTAAATATTAAACTGTATGTTATATTTAAACATCGGGCACCGTTTTCAGACCCACTTCCCGCTTCGACCTACTGCAATTAGCTGAGTCCAACGGCTGTTGTTTTTTTAGCCGATTTTTAAGTGATTTTTGTCATTTTGTGTCACTAATTTAATGGTCTGCCTCTGAAGAATGACAGCTGCTGCCCAGCGACAGACGTTCAGTGGTACAGCAATGTTACGCACAAAGAGCTGAAGAACCAGTTTGACGACAGGGGATACAATAACAACTTAATTTGCAGCTTCTGCAACCAAGACTCTGACATGGCAAAGACACAGCCGGGCGGGCTGGACAGAATGAGGGTCTAGTGGGAGAGAAGCTTGAGGGAGGTCGGGCATCAATGAGGCAGCAGCAGCATGTAGAGCCAGAATATTTTCACATCTAACTTGGTTAGACACCAGAGTTTGTGACTGTCTGAACAGTGGAAAGACAACTACTACTTTTGGTAAGTTTTATTTTGTTTCTGTTAAATTTGGTATTTCATGATTACTTAACAAGGCAATTAAGCTGTTCTTAGTTTGGTAGAGAGAGAAACCTGAATTCAGAAGATGCACGTTGTATATTTCTCTATTTAGTAAGAAAAATAGGTGCATTTTGTGTGTTTATTTTATTTATTAAAGCTGAGAGAGCTTCTGCCACGTAGGGCCAAATCATTATAAATAATGTTTTAAAATAAAACCAAAGTTGGAATAATCTGGTATTATCCCTTAAAGCAGAATTTACATGTTCACTGGCAAGTTCTACTTTGACACAGTGGCTGTGTATTTAAGAAGTTACATGATGTACAGCACTTTGGAAGCGATGATGGCCCAAATACAGCTTATGAAGTAAGTCCATTTAAGGATATATACCTGCTCCATCCTGTATTATGACCATCTACAAGAATATAAATAATGTAAGAATTTAATTACACTGGCTTGGCTTTCAAAACCTTTTAGTGTTCATACAACTCTTGTTTGCATATAAGAGTATGATTATTCCTGATGAAATACACACTTGCTTAATGGTCTGAGGTCAGACTACAAGATGAGGACATTACATTTACTGAGAGCTCCTCTTTGAAAAAAAACCCCCTACAAAGTGGAAGTTAATAAAGCTGCATTAGTATTTTAAAGATCCTCTCCAGACATGTATTAAGACGTATATACAATAATCTGCTTGGAACAATAATGTGCATCTGATGTGTTTTTTCTACAAAAAAAGTTTAATTTCCCTAAAAAGTCACCTCCCCCTTCTACCTCATTACAAATTGCAGAATCTGGAGTGATGGGCTGCCACGTAGCGCCCCCCCAGGAAGCAGTTAGGGGGTCAATGCATTGCTCAAGGTCACATTGGCAGTTCCTTGGAGGTGAACAGGCACCTCTCCAGCTACCAGTCCACATTGCTTGACTTAAACTGGAAACCCTCCTGTTCCCAATAATTTTACAATTTTGTTTTATTTGAGTTGAGTTTTTCCTTTCTGTCTCTAAAAGGAGAAATCTCAGTCCTGCTTCTTCACTGACAGACAAGAAAATGCTCAATTACTTTTTTAGGATATTTAATTTCCAAATTAATTGATATCAGTGTAAAGCTATTTTCAGCTTCAATATGAATAAATGTCACTGTCTGAAACCCAGATCAGTGTTAGCTCAGTTGGAGCCTGTGCTGTAGGAGCAGCTGGGATGAACTCATGGCTATGTGAAGCAGCACTAACCTTGCCAGGCATATGATAATGCTCAGCCTTGTGCTCCCCATAACTAGACCTTGAATCAAGCAGTTTATTTTAATAAATAAATAAACATAGAGCAGGCAGCGGAGCAAAGGCAAGGTCACAGCACCAGCACCAGCCCTGAAGATGAAGGAAGTCCACCAGCAAAACACACGTCAGATCATACACAGGATCAGCATGTCCATACATGTTACACATTTATGCTGCAGAACTACGCACAATCTATTTATGTGTTTAAGGTGAATATACAACACGTTCTCATGCCAGGTCATCAAAAACCGACGCTGCTTTGTCACCCGCTCATACGGATGCACCCTATAGTCTGTATGAAACACCTTTATAACACATGGTTCGAATTGGTTGGAGTTTGGTTAGGATTAGGGAAAGATTACTTACAAGCACAAGCGGCATAACAAAACACTGGCATTTGATTCCCTGGGAATGAGGACGGGCTGGAAAATATGGACACACTGAGTCAAAAGAAGAACCCTAAAGAAACCCTAACAAAGATTGCTTTTGATTTCATTACAATAAAAGACAAAATGTTCACATTAAGTTCATTAAGTTAGACGATTGAACTTTTTAAGATTGATGATTTAAGATGATTTTCAAATTAATACAAGAGTTAATGTCCTATTTCTTTGCCATGTTTTTCTGTTTGTGTATGTGTGTGTGTGTGTGTTGTGGGTGTGTGGGTGTGTGTGTGTGTGGATAATGTTAGAGTTCAGGGCTGTAGACAGCATCAATCAGAGCTCTCTTTCACTGCCTGTCTCTGTCTGGGTCCACAGCCCACTGAACAAGTCATTTAGCTGAACTACCTCTGTGTTCTCTCTGCTTCTCCCCCCCCTGTGGAAGGCTGCATTTACAGTGTGTGTGTGTGTGTCACAAGAGGCTGGTCAATCATGAAAAAGAAGACATGGTTTGGTGTAAAAGGCCACACACAGAGTGTGTATCCTTTGCAGAATGATTATCTCTGTATTTATGAATGCGGGTGAATGTCATTCGAT